ATGGGATCTACTTTGTGCTGTGATTACTTTTTTTAAAAAATAACCAGCCTCAGAAAATTTCCACAAGTCAAAAAGCCAGAGGGGAGAGCCAGTGCCAAGATCTGGGGGCCACAGGCAACTTTGAAACGAATCTCAACTACGGTCAAGGCAGAGAAGAGGAACCGCTGCCACTGCCTCCTTAAAGGTTGGTCTTCCATGTCGACTTGTGAAACCTTTCAGGGGGAAGTGGTCAATCTCTAGCTGTTCTTTGGAGTCATTTTCATGGAAGTCTCCAAATAGATGTTATGCCTCACTGCTGAAGAGGACATTTTTTAGAAAAGTAAACAAAATGCTCTTGCCACAGATCACATTTTGTTAAAGATGTTGCTGAAAGTGGATGAAGTTCAGTTGTATTCCTCTTGCCCTCTTTCTGCTCACTTTGCCTGCAGCAGAGGGAAAGAAGCCCAGCAGTAGCTCCTGCAGCCTGGCACAAAGCAGAGAGGAAATCCAGGACTTAGACCCTCAAGTAAAACCAATCCACTTGGATTTTCTTTCTCAAAATGGTGGTTTTTATCAACTCATAGGTAATGAAATCAGTTCAAGTGCTGTTTTGGCTCATGCTGAGTTGACTGAAGAAGTCACTGCCCGCGGTTGCCTGTTCCCAGCCCCTGCAGTGACCATGCCATGAGGGGCAGACCACGAGTGTCCACAAGGTCCAGCCCACTTCTGCCAACACCAAATAACCTGACTCTTGGATTTATCAAAGTAATCCAGGATTTCTGGTGTGTGTTGTTCTTCTGTAACACTGAGTTAGACACATAGGAGAGAGCTTGAGGACGGCTGGGAAGCAGGGCTCGCTGCCTCCTCCTCCTCAGGATGCTGCCCCGTGCCTCGTCCTGTCAGAGGCCTTCCCCACATGATTGTTCTTCACAACCCATCTGAAATACTCCCAACCCCAAGGCTGCTGATGAAATAGTACGTACTGGAATTAAAAAACCAAACACACCTGTATCTATATAAACTATTCATACCTATACAGTGTGTGTGTGTATATATATATATATATATATATATATATATATATATAGCTTGAAGACATATATATGTATATTTATATATTTTTGAGAAGCACAAGACATCTGTCTCTCGTGCTGGGACTCGGAGGTGTGTGGGGCTGGCCTGGAGCCGTACTCTTCCTGTGGGGAGACCAGAGTTTCTATTTCAGTTTCTGCCTCACTGCCCAGTGCCTGCTGTGTTGTGCCTGTGCACAGCAAAACCTGGGAGACTGTGCACGCACCAGCAGCTCTCTGTGCTGACACAATGGGCTGGCTGAGGAAGGAGAAAGGAAAAGCCTTGTTTTCCCTGTCACCTCCTCCCGTGCAGGGCTGCCCTGTGGCAGACGTGCCTGCCACCGGCAGCCTGTGCTGTGACAGGGCTGCTGCAAAACACACCCAGCCTTGGCGACTTCTGTTTTCAGCTGCACAAGAAGGAACAGAAAACAACTTTCTATTTTGTTATTTTTATTTTATTGCAATTGGAAACATGCTCTCTCATGTTCTCAACATTGTGCAGGTCTGAGACCACATTATGGCTCCTGGTGTTGAGGTTTAAGGGTCCATTAAAGCAAAGCTGGCAGCGCAGCCTCCTGCAACCAGCAGCCTGACTACAGCTCTGCCGAAATCCCCGGCACTACAGATGGGTGCCAAAGGCAGAATTGGCCCAGCTCTCTGCACCCCTTTTAGAAGATCCATATCACTGTCTTCTGTGGAAGATTAAGGTGAACTGAGGTTACAGAAGTTGGTGGTCATGCCACCTGTAATGAACTACTTCTGTTCCCTAATCAGGTCAGTAGAGGACAATGGCCAGACTTCACTCCTACTGGCTCACATGTTGCCTGCGGGATTTATTGCAATATTGGTTGTTGGTTTTGGTTTGCCAGAAGTGGGTACTGATGTACTGGTCGCTCCTTACTGTGAGCAGTGCAGGTGCTGCTGTCCAAGCATTCGGGCATGCAGCTAGAGAGAGGTATGAGTGCTGGCTGAGCTGGAAACACTGGTCGACCTCAGTACAAATATCTCCCCTCCAGTGCCCCTGGCTCCTTGTCCTGGGGAGGTAACAGATAACCAGGAAGTGGTATCTGGCTGTGCCCAGGCACACTTGTGTGCACGAGCCCTAGGGTGTGAACCTGCCAACACCCAGCGCTGTGAAGTGGAGGGCTCCAAACCGCACTGTGGCTGTCTGCTCTGGGACTCTGCTTCCCAGCATTATCAGTTTTGCATGTGAGAGGCTTTGCAGTCCCTGTTCTTGTTATATTTATCACCTTTTACTTTCTGAAGCAGGCAGACAAGTGCCCGTGTTAATGCAGCTGTTTTCACCCTGTGGCACGTGGACTTTTGTGGCCATTTGACTGTTCCCCAGAAATCCCACGGAGGGTGGTGTTCCCAGGCACCAGACATGATGATACCCATCGCCCCGGGAACACAGTGCCCATTGCTGCTAATCTTGGGCTGAGGTTGGTCCGTTGTCCCCGACTCCCAACCCATGACCCGCACTGCCTGTTAGGCACCAGCCCTCAATCCGCTCTGGTCCAGCGGCCAGTGGCACCGCCGTGAAGGACAGCTTGACCCATGGTGCCTGTGATAAGCACCAAGTCCTGTCTGCCTGGCAGAGTCAGCAGTCCACCCCCAGCCCTGCAGCCTTCTCAGCCACTGTCCCAGAGGAGAAAGTGTTGCCATTTCCTTCATGAGCTTCAATTTACATGTAATCCAGCTGTGGCCATGCTCACTCTGGCTGCTCTGGAATGGGATTTTGCTGCTTCCCCCATGCAGAGACACTGCAGCTTTCCTGAGGGTGAAAGAGGGGATTGAGGGACTGTGAGACTGTCATTCAGGCCAAATCAGCCAGAGTTTTTCACCACCTTCTCTGGAGCATCTTCTGCCAACCGCAGAGATGCCTGCAGACAAGGACCCCCCCTTGCACAGCACCACAGAGCCCAGTTCCCTTCAGTGCCTACGAGTGCATTGCCCTCTAACACTGACCCCACTGCTATGTGAGGAACAAAAATTGCATCCATCAATAAGAAAGTGTGTGTTCTTGCATATTAAATCACATACTTGCATTCATCACTTCATTGTCAGAAGTGGGGATGCATTAGGGGTTGCCAGTACTTGCTTTCTATTTTCACCAATTAATTTTGTAGACAGAGGGGAACTCTTGCAAAAACGGGGGTGCAATTGTGGTGTGATGTTTAAGGGATAGTGAGACCCATAGTAAGAGGTAATATTGGTGAATAGACATGATGGTATAGTTGGAGGAAACAGCAAGCAGCTTTTCAGCACACAAATGTCTCTGTCATTGCCTGTGCACTCCTTTAGCCTGCATAACTTAAAATACTTCAAAATAAAACAGGAGCCAAAGCAACTGATTGTAATGCAAAAGCTACTCCATAGTTAAGAGGTAAAGCAATAACCTCATGAACAGCTAATGAAAGCTTTAGTTTTAACTTATCACAATGAAAAGTGAAATAAAACCATGCTTGCTGAGAGCAAGATGTGCATGTGGGCTCATGCTGTTAACAGGTACATGTTTCACACTTTGGAAATGTGCATAAAAATCAGCCACGGGGCTTTCAGCAGCCAGAGCAACCTTGTGCTGGCTGCCTATGGAGCACAGGGCTCTGCCCTGCACCCTGCGTACCTGTGCCCTAAGACGTTACCATTGGGTAGAGAAGAACAAATGTGACAGAAGAAGCATTGCTCTGTAACCTCTTAAAAACAGCTCCTCTCTCCCCTGCGCCAGCCCTGAAGCCTTGCCATCATCAGATGATTAATTTGTGGTTGCTCTCCTTGGCTTTTCTCCAGTGCAGTCAAAAGCAGGACCCAGCTTCCTGAGCCCCGGCCCACCCGCCGCTGTCATCGCCCCGACGGGTGACGCTCCGTGGCTGACAGCACACACTTTCCAGTGACCTCATCTCATCTCCAGCACGCAGACAAGTGGCAATACCACTCTGGTCTGCGCAGCCAAGCACCCCAGGCAGCCTCCACTCCCCCCGCCCACAACAGGGACACCCCCCAAAATATTCCCAGGGGGGTTTGTGCAGGTTAATTGCCATCTTTTTTTTCCTCCCAGGCAATGGAGTGGATAGCAAAACATCACCTCCCTAGCAATGCTAGTTAGTGAAAGCAGCTATTTTACCGCTGATATTTTGTACACCTGTTCTGACCTCTGTGATGACAATAGTTTGCGTAAAAAGAAAGCAAGAGCCCAGAAAGGAGTGTGGCACTCTCTGCTTGGCCGACTTTCTAAAAATACCATGCACAGCCCTGTCATCCGCATGTAGGCATGGCAGCTTCTCCTGTCTCCACTGGGCTGATGGGATCTGATTTTCAACTTGTTTGCCTGTAAAGTCACACTTCATCCATCCCCCCCCCAGTAATTCTTGAGCCCACGGCTCACCTTACTGTCAAAGGAGTTAATGTCTGGAAAATATCAAGGTCTTGCAAAGTTTGTGAGAACAGGTAATCAGGCTGAGAAAAGAGAGGCAACAAAATGAATTACACCCTGGGAAAAACTTTAATGGGAGTCTGTGCCTTATTAGACACCAGAAAATCCACTCTTTAGTCAAGGTTTCTCTCTCATGTGGATTCACTGGTGTTTAATGAAGCGTGAACTCCCATTAAAGCTTTTCCTGTGGTTAGGACATTTGCAATGTGTGGCTTCTCTCATGTCTTATAAGCAACAGAGTTGTGCTGCAGTCTTGGAGAACTCAGTCTGTCAGTCTCCAGGCACAAACCCCATAGAAAGTTATTTACTAGCTTGTTAATTCTGGGGCACATGGGGCTGCTTGTCATATCCAGCATTTTCCCATAAAACCAGACAAACGGACAAGAGGGAAAGGCAGGCTGCATACGACAGGAGCCATCCCATCCCACATCACCCACTGTGGCACCAGCTCAGGCTCTTTCCCCCACCACGACCAGACCCTCATGTGCCTCTGAGTGTTCTCAGCTACCTTCATGAACATCCTAGGCTTGGTTAAATTCTTAGTGTTGCCAGTATCCTGATTGGGTTCATTTTAGCTTGTATAAAAAATTCCATCTCCTGGACAATTTTGAATCCATTGTGTTTCAGTGGCATTGACTTAGTACTTGCTCTATCAGAAATGACAGGTAATGCAAATAAGCATTTTTGGTTTCAAAACCCTTATAACTCTACTGTTTGCATCTACTTCCATTTCTCCCTTTCAGGATCAGCTTTTCAGAGGTTTGTGAGCACCTAGTAACACAGCAAGATACCTTGAGGGCATTACACAAGTGTCTTAGCTCCTTTGTCCATGTCTTTTTTTTTATTCAAGTCTAGATAAGAGGTATGTGCTGGTTTACCCTTACCTTCTGTTTCATTGACACACTCAGTGTTTTGAGATGGAAGATTTTCCTTTATAGACTTCTGTTTCTTTGTTCCTATTTATTCATGCTTAGCAAAATGTCCATGTTTATCGTCATTGTTCGTTCCCATTCATTTATCTGATACGGAACTAATGCCCACTGGGTTGCAATTTCCAGGACTGCTTTAAGCTGATTTTAATACAAGATCATTTTTCACTGGCCGTGTTTTTGGAGGCTGTACTGCTGGCTCCTTCCTCCATTGCTGTGGCACAGCCCAATCAGTGCCCCCCACCCCAAATCCTTCTTCCCAAAACCAGATACACTCCTCTTCCTTGGCGGGGATGGAAACACCACGGATCCTCTTTGGTTCGCAATTTGTCTAATTTTATTATTGTGATTATTTTAGCTTTCTTGTTTCTCCAGAATGATTGAGTCTGTGGTTAAAATGATCAGTATTAGAGCAGGGAATGGCTCTCTTGGTCCTGACCAAGGGGTCTCCAAGCTCCAAATCTTACCTCTAAGCACAGCCAGAAGGAAAACAGGCAACCAAAATGCTGACATTACTGGCCAAAATAAAAATCCTCCATCTACAGATTGCATTAAAGCACAAATTGCATTTCTGCCCCTTTCTCTCCTGCTCTGAGGGGCAACATGGATTGTTCCGCTCTGAAAATGGGACTTTTTCAAACTGGCAATGCCTAGCTTGCTGCAAGTGGCCAGGAGTGGCCCACAAACCAGGCTCCGGTCTCCTGCTTGGAAAGATTTCCAAAACATCACTGGTTATGGCCAGCACAGCCAAATTGGCCCCAGGCACACGGCTGCAGCACCTGCGTGACACCCTTGTCTTAGCGCTCCAACAGCCCCTTGCAGAGAGGCCCCCTGAAATGAATGCCAAGGTGATGGAAACAGGGTGGATGAATCCATTGGTCAGCTGTCAACCCAAACCCTCTGAAATGTTTGGAGCAGGGCTAGCCGTGCTACTTTCTCAGTTGACAACTCCATTTCATTAGGTGTCTGATAAGTCTGGCAGTGATTGACTGTATCAAAAGTGCTCACGTGACTGTACACACCACACACACACACATACAGGATTCTGGCAAGTAAACAAGGCTTGTCCTGGGACAGTTCCAAATGAAAACAGAGCTCTTCCCCCCCCCCCCCTCCAAGCCTAAACTTCAGATCCTGAACTTGCATGAGATTCCTCAGTCAGCTCCTGCTTTTCAGAGCTTATTAGACACTGCTAAATTCATAAATGTAATAGACCAAACTAGAACAGGTTAAGGTAATTATATTACACTGAATACATCATATTGTAGTATTTATTTTGCTCTATCTTTTAGAAAATATTGAATTGTAACATCAAGGAGAGAAGTCAAAGAAAAAGGACTTCCATGAACCTTAGTTAAACGCTCAGCAGTAAGAATCTGAATAGCTTCTTCAGCAAACAGAAACATTTTTACAGGGAATTATTTCAGAAATATTACATAAATTTTCTCATGTATGTCATTATTGACAGCAATACACCTGCAGGGAATATGACTAGTCTAAGGTCAGGAACAGCAGCCAGATGCTTGCAGCGGGAGCTGCAGGGAACCTGCTTTTCTGCCTCCCAGCACTTTTGCAGCTGTGGCATAACTCCAGATTGTTTCTTCCTTCCCTTTCTTTCTTTTCCTCTTTCTTTTCTCCCTTCTCTATACAAAGTCAGCATTTTGAAAGTTCAAACTTCACCAGCAGTTTGAGAGGCAGAAGTTGGAGACGGCTGAGAGGCAGCGGGCTTCTGGCGCAGAGCCCTGCCCCAGGCACCGCTCCTCAGGAGGAGCTGGATGGAAGGAAGGGGCAGAGAAAGCGTGACTTCCCCTCATGTGATGGGAGATGAGAAAACAGATGTGTGGCTTTTACCAATCATACACTGTTGAGCACAAATTTCACGTCTGCAGGGCACTTGGAAAAGGAGCTTAAAGGCCCCAGGGGCTGTGTCCTATTTTATGCATCTTGTGGGCTCCAAAACCAGCGCTGAAGCAAACCTGATCATGACTCAGGGTCTCTTGATGATCCTGGAGGAGTGGGCTTAATCTGGGATCGATACAGGATGAGTCTAGCCGGGCTTAGGGCACGCACAGCCTCTCGCACCACACTCCTGAGTAGAGCTGAATCTCCCCAGGGACCGGGGTCTGTTTCTGGGTGCAGGAGTGGGCTGGGCTGAACAGTTACAGTTTCTGGAAGAGCTGCAAACTCTTCTCAGCACCACTTTTCCAGCCACACAGTGTCTTCTGGTGTCAAACTTTTCAATGGAGGCACATTTTAGCTTTCTGAGCATTGGCCTGATTTCTGGAAGCAGAAATCTCCCCTCCTTTATTTCCAGAAGCCATACCAGATTAGTCTACATGGAGAAAATGTAGTAAGAAAGTGCAGATAAAGTTCATTAAATATTTTTACTGCCAACTTTTTTATTTCTGTCTTGTTCCTTATGATGCATAACATCAGTCATAAAACTTCTCAGAAAAACAAATGGCACACTTTTTTTTGTGTTAAGCACAATCCATGGGCAGGCAGCTGTAGATACAATTTCTTCTAGGAGTAAATTTCCTCCAACCAGTTTCTATCTTGACATTTTTGGGCCAGATTTGTTTGCCACTCTGTATGTTTCAGAAACTTTACAGATGTCAGTGAAACCTAAAGGTAAGCGGATCTGTTCTTGGTTCCCCCTAAAAATAAGCAACCTCCATTAAAAAAATGATATTTTATGGTTTACTTTCCCAGAAAATGTTTCTCCCCCATCCCTTTCATGGCTCCTCTCTGTACGTCACTTCTGTCCATTCACACAGAACATGAGCCATGAACTCCACTCCTTGGCACTCATCTTCCGTTGCATCTTCACTTTTTTTCTTTGTTTCATTATTTTTACACCACAGTTTTCTATTAAATTATTGCTTTAAAGACCTGCTTATTCAGGCCCATCTCTCCTTCGAATTTTCTCTGATTCTGCCCTAAAAACCAAACTCAGACATAATGTCAAGTCTGAGTTTCAGCCAGGCAATCTCCAATGACAGATTCATGATCTGATCTTTTCATATTTTGCAGTTATGCAATATTTGGATTAATTTAGCTGTAGAGAGTCCCAGTTCTGGACCTATACTTCTTATCCACATTTTACAACCCAGTCAGAGGGAAACAAGTATTTTTAAATGAGACTGGCAGAATATGGCACCCATAAATCCAAGTTGGACAACAGTGTGTGTGGTTTTATTTCTCTCATGTCTCTGCTGAGGTAAGAATTAGCATTGAAATTCATTCTGGTTTCAGACTTTTTAGATGATGCTCATGTCTCATTTTTTTCCCAGAAGCTTTCACATCCAGGAGCCAATTTCAACCACATCTGACAGCAGTAAAGATCCCCAAGACACTCTGCTTTGGCAAAACTCATGGAGACAAGCAGAAACGACTCTCAGTGCCCCTTCAGGAAGAAGGACTGGGGCAGGGGTTCACCTCTTGTTGGGAACTGGAGCACTAGGGCAGGAAATCAGCCTTGAGTCCCTGTCACAGCACCCAGGAAACCCGGCTCTGCTGCTGCTGCTGCAGCTCGCAGAGTTGAGTTTCCTTCCCTTGCAGGCAGCCATGGAAGCAAGGCTTTTCTCAGACACTTCAGTGTCCTAAACTGTGCAAGAAGCAGCTTCGCTTACAGCTCACCCTTCTGTGGAGACACCTTACTGTCCATCAGGAAAAAATCTAACACAGAAGTTTAATTCTCCCAGGTTTAAACTGGGATTGAACAGTCTGATTAAATTTAGAGTGTTATAATTTTTAGATCACAATCACAGTATTTTAAGAAAAAAGAATATTCACTAATGATTTTTATCTCACCTCTGTCTAGCAAAACAACAGCCTTGGGTAAGGTAGGTTCTGCAATATTTTGGATTCAGTGCTGTTGAGCAGATGGTATTTATTGACAAACCTGCTGCTAAACTGTTTGCATTCCCAGGGCTGTAGGTGCAGCCAGCCCGAAGGACATTCACTACTCATTACTAAAATACTCATTTCCCGGGAAAACCATCTGTGTCATTCAGTCATGGCAGAAGCCCAGAAACATCCCATTCCCTCCACCACCACCACCTCCCCAGCACTATTTATATCCATCCATGCCTGGACTATGTTTCCTGTCTCCTTTCTGAAGCCCTCATCACCCACACTACAGTAAACACAGGGCAGCAAGATGAAGGAGACATAAATTGTACATATGATTTCCAGTTTTTCCCCCTTACAAATACGGACTGAAGTCCACAGGTGCAGGAGAGTGGCTAAGAGCAAGACTTGCTAATGGAGCAACCTAAACTACATTGTATAACATACTGCTTTCAGATGAAAGGGATGAAGGAGAGAGAGAAACAGGCAAGGAGTATTACAAAGAGGTACCAGTGTGGTGTGAACACAAGAACTGCCAGCTACCTCTAGTAAGATGTGCTGTCATTCTGGCTGTAGTCTGCCAGAACCACAGTGGCAGCGACCAGCAGACAGGCTCAGACGACTCCTGCAGAAACACATGAAACCTCAGCTCACTCTGCCGTGCTGCAGGGCTGAGAAGGAGAAACCTCAGCCTTAAAAACATCGACGCTTCCTTGTCTCCTCGGGACCGATGACGCGTTTGGCATTGGGGAGCTGAGGGAGAGGTGGGTAATGTATCATTCCGTCACTCCCTACAAGCTATTTACATACTGCTCAATTAAATTTCTATGCAGCAATTTGGGTAGCTAATTGTGCATCTTTCATGGTGGCATGGCACAACCCTCCGTAAATACATCTTTAATTTAGGATGATGCATGCACCTTGCCACTCCACCCTAGAGGGTGGTAGCTTCTACTTCTTTGTCCTTTTCTGATTCAAAAGCGTAGAATTTCACCCAGACACACTCTCTCACTAACAAATTTAAGTTCTACATTTCATCAGAAATGTAGATGTGTCTCTTAAGGTGGATGGATGATGGCCCAGATTGGCTTGTCACTGATTTCCTCCTCTCTATACTGATAAGGATTCATTTCCTTCACTAACAGCTTCATAAGACATCAGATGTCTCAATAATCTTGTGTCTGCATAAGTCTTGAGAAATGTGAACAATACTAGATTGACAATGCATATGAACATAGAAGTTGCCCAGAGAGGTTGAGGAATCTCCTTCCTCGGAGATCTCTGGTGCTGCTCCAGACAGGGACCTGAGCAACCTGATCCACCCTTGGAGGCTGCTTTGAGATCCAGCTGTACCACATGATCTTCCATGATTCTTCACAAAATACATTTTCCTATGCTTCTGTGACCATGAAAAATTCTTTTGCATATCCCATCACCGCATCATTTTTTGTCTGGAATAGCAATTACACAGGCACTCTCCTTAGTAAATGAATTAACTGAAAGAAGGCACATCTACAGAGCACTCCACTGAGATGGCCTGAATGCCACTAAAATACTGACTTGCACTTCCTACCGGTTGGTTTTCAGGCTTTATAGGCTGTGCTGTTGTGTTAGCCTGGGCAGACATCGTGCTGAATTTAGGCTTTCTGAAACAATAAAGTAAGAGAGACCCTGCTGAGGGTGGAGGTAGCACAGAATAGCTGCTGTGCTTCAGCTCACACCCTCACTTATTAGCAGACCTTCTATTTATTGAGTGTTCACACTTATATTAATGTACTATAAATGCAGAAGTTAAAAAAATACTCTTCTGTGAAATGGCATGGGAAAACGGAGTGTTCTGATTGAGTAGCAGTGATGCTACATTTTTTCCCTCACTGTATCAGGTCTGGCTGGGATGGAGTTAATTTTCCCCATAGCTGCCCTATTAGTGCTGTGTATCCATAGCTGGAAAGGTGTTGATAACACACCTCCACAGCACCACACCTGTCCCTCCAACATCCCCCCACCCCACACCCCCAAAGGTCAGTAGGCTGGGAGTGGGCAAGATCTTGGGAGGGGACAGAGCCAGGACAGCTCTGACTAGAGGGAGATTCCATATCATAGGACATCTGCTCAGCAATAAAAGCTATGAGAAGGGAGGGGGGGGGCATTTGTTATTACGACTTTTGTCTTCCAGAGCAACCACTACATGTACTGAAGCCCTACTTCCCGGGAAGCCGCCGGACATTGCCTGCTGATGGGAAGTAGAGAATAATCTTTTGTTATCCCTTGCTTCTGTGCACAGCCGTTGCTTTTGCTTTATCAAACTGCCTTTATCTGACCCACGAGTTCTTTTCCATCTTATTTTCTCCCCGCCCATCCTGCTGAGGAGGGGAGTGATTGAGCAGTTTAGCAGGCACCTGGCGTTCAGCCAAGGTCAACCCACCACAGTCCTTTCTGGCACCCAGCATAGGGCCCAAAATAACAGCAGTTTTATATTAAGCATTTTACAGTTACAGTAGTTATTAAATGGCAAGCTTCTGTGCGGATCACAGAGTTTGTTTGCTGCATTGATTATCTCTTTATTTTGCTGAGCCTGGGAATGAGCTGGACTCAGGGGTCCCAACTGCCCAGGAATCCTGGGACTAACCAGAAGGCAGCAGTTTTGGAGCATTGCCTGAGAAAGTGGTTCATGCCCAAGAGGCACCATCATTTGAGTTATCAGAAGATGAAAGGTGATATGTTTTGTTTACTGATGGATCCTGTTGCATTGTAGGAAACCACTGGAAGTGGAAAGCTGCTGTGTGGAGTCTCATGTGACAAGTCATCGAAGCCACTGAAGGAGAAGGTGAGTCGAGTCAGTTTGCAGATGTGAAAGCCATGCAACTAGTCCTAGAGATTGCTGAACAATGTGGCCAGTACTCTACACTGACTCCTGGATGGTGGCTAATGCCCTGTGGGGGTGGCTACAGCAGTGGAAGAAGACCAACTGGCAACACAAGGGTAGACTCATCTGGGCTGCTGCATTGTGACAGGACAGTGCTGCCCAGGTAGAAAACATTACCCTAAGGGCATATCATAGAGGTGCTCACATGCTCAAAAGCTGCATCACTGAAGAACATGGAAACAACGATCAGGTAGACAAGGCTATTGAAATTGAAGTAGCTCAGGTGGACCTGGACTGGGAGCACAAGTGTCAGCTGTTTGTAGCTCGATGGGCCCACAAAACATTGGAACATCTCGGGAGAGATGCAACATACAGATGGGCTCGTGATCAAGGGGTGGACCTGACCATGGAAGCAATCACACAGGTCACTCGTGAATGTGAAACATGTGCCGCAACCAAGTGAGCTGGAAGAGCAAAGTCTCCATGAACAGAGGACAGGGTCTGGGTTTTCAATATGGTGAGGCCTGGCAAATTGACTATATGGAATGACTGCCATGAACACACCCAGGCAAGCGCTACATACTCACCATGGTGGAAGCAACTACTGGTTGGCTCGAAACGTACCCTCTAAATTATGACACTGCCTGAAACACCATCTTAGGCCTTGAAAGGCAAATTTTGTGGCAACATGATATCCCAGAAAGAATCAAATCAGACAATGGAACTGATTTCTGAAATAACCTCATAAACTCCTGGGCTAAGAAACAGCTTTGAGTGTGTGTATCACATCTCTATCACCCAGAAGCCTCTGGAAAGGTTGAGATACAGTGGACTGTTAACGACTATGTTGATAGTGTTGCACAATGGGGCATGGAAGCACTGGGATGTAAATTTAGCAGAAGCCACTTGGCTGATTAACACCAGAGGATTTGCTAACTGTCCTGTTTCTGCCCAAACAAAACCCCTACATACTGGGGGAGAAAATAAGGTTCAGTAATGCACATAGGTGTGGACTGCTCCTCCCTTGGGAAAAGGCAAATCCATTCATGGGATTTTCTTCACTCCAGGACCTGGGTGTACTTGGTGGGTAATGCAGAAGGATGGGGAGACTGGGTGTCTGCCTCAAGGAGATTTAACCTTGGGGGAAAAATAATCTGTGATGTGAGTTGTGTGTTGTAGGAAGTAACGTAGCAGGAACGATCTGAACCATCAAATAGTGAGTTTTGCAAGGAATCAGGCGAGTGCAAGGATGACCCAAACCAATCCAGTGTCTAACAATCAAACATGCTGCTTCTCCTGTCCTGAACACTCATCTTGAAAGATGGGGCTCAAGCCATAGCCTGTTCTTAAGAACATTTGGAGGAGTGGAGGAAAACTATGGAAAGGGAGAATAATATCTATCTGTTAAAGGACAGGGGTTAGTTGTTAATAAGAATGTATAAATATAAATCTGGATGTGGGGTATAAAGATGTGTAAGTATGTAGTATAAGTTGTAATTGCTGTTAAGAAGATGTATCAATAGTTCTCATTCCCTGCGGTCACCTAGTTGCCTATAAGGAATGTGCTGAAGTACTTAAAAAACGCCCTCTGTGTTGTACAAATATTATGAAAAGACAGGAAATTTTTATGGATTAGTGAAATATACAGTACTGTGGGATGCAAACATTTCCTGCTTTATTGCTCTTATACGTGTAATGCAGTAACAGACGGTTGGGTGTTTGGCAGTCTAGCACACATATTTATGGAGCATCTCACTTTAGGGATAATGTAAGCAATAAAGCTTTAATCAGCACCCTGAAATATGAGTTGACTGTCAGGAGCTGCTAGATTTTTGTTTATAACACTCATATTCAACTGCCTCCTTCTTACTCTCCTTACTTTTTCTGGTTTTACTTCAAAGTTGTAACCTAAAATAACTATTGCTGTATTCGCAGATCTATTTATTGAGTGTTCACACTTATATTAATGTACTATAAATGCAGAAGTTAAAAAAATACTCTTCTGTGAAATGGCATGGGAAAACTGAGTGTTCTGATTGAGTAGCAGTGATGCTACATTTTTTCCCTCACTGTATCAGGTCTGGCTGGGATGGAGTTAATTTTCCCCATAGCTGCCCTATTAGTGCTGTGTATCCATAGCTGGAAAGGTGTTGATAACACACCTCCACAGCACCACACCTGTCCCTCCAACATCCCCCCACCCCACACCCCCAAAGGTCAGTAGGCTGGGAGTGGGCAAGATCTTGGGAGGGGACAGAGCCAGGACAGCTCTGACTAGAGGGAGATTCCATATCATAGGACATCTGCTCAGCAATAAAAGCTATGAGAAGGGAGGGGGGGGGCATTTGTTATTACGACTTTTGTCTTCCAGAGCAACCACTACATGTACTGAAGCCCTACTTCCCGGGAAGCCGCCGGACATTGCCTGCTGATGGGAAGTAGAGAATAATCTTTTGTTATCCCTTGCTTCTGTGCACAGCCGTTGCTTTTGCTTTATCAAACTGCCTTTATCTGACCCACGAGTTCTTTTCCATCTTATTTTCTCCCCGCCCATCCTGCTGAGGAGGGGAGTGATTGAGCAGTTTAGCAGGCACCTGGCGTTCAGCCAAGGTCAACCCACCACAGTCCTTTCTGGCACCCAGCATAGGGCCCAAAATAACAGCAGTTTTATATTAAGCATTTTACAGTTACAGTAGTTATTAAATGGCAAGCTTCTGTGCGGATCACAGAGTTTGTTTGCTGCATTGATTATCTCTTTATTTTGCTGAGCCTGGGAATGAGCTGGACTCAGGGGTCCCAACTGCCCAGGAATCCTGGGACTAACCAGAAGGCAGCAGTTTTGGAGCATTGCCTGAGAAAGTGGTTCATGCCCAAGAGGCACCATCATTTGAGTTATCAGAAGATGAAAGGTGATATGTTTTGTTTACTGATGGATCC